TTTCTTACGTCGACCCGTATAAGCTACTTCCTTGTACGCATGCGCATAAACTTTCTTCGTATCGCGAACCACACGCAGTTTACGTCACGGTGATCCAGACATGCAATCTGGTTACGTAGTATTCGTGATCTGGTCATTTGTGTGGGACAATGCATCAAATGGGGATGTATAGTAAAATCCGATATAAGGTTGCGCCATATGCTTGTACAGTCTGTGGCAAAACAGCAAAGCATTACGGATCACAAGACCGTACCCTCCCTCTAACAAACAGCATTTACATTTGTTAGCGATGTTAAAATTCCTGTTCCATATTCGGCAGGTTCCGGGTTCTATTCTCGGCCTGGAGCCCGGAGATTTTCCTACTATACTAAAACCCATCCAGACAAATGTTTGATATAGTAGCTCAAGAAAATGAAAATATAAATTAGGTCTATCATCACGTTATAATGTGAATACTGCAGAACAGAGAGATTCCAAACACCGCAACACAGCATTCTATAAAGTATATTTTCAACCGATTCTAATAAAAAAACACCAAAACATGGGCCCTTACAAGGCAAACGTAAAGTTTTCCTGTGCTTAATTAATTAAGCACCACGCTATAAAAGCGTAAGAGGGAGTCCAGGTATTGTTTCACCATTCTTGACCTTGACACTAGATGGAGTTATACGATCAACTTCACGCTCCGACCGTTTTAAATAACTCCTAGTACCGACTGGATAGGAGGCTGGGTGGGTCCCAAAGCCGGTCTGGATGCTGTGGTGTAGAGAAAAATATCTTTCCCCTTCTAGGAATCGAACTCTGGCCAACAGCCTGTCGCTATACCCGACTGAACTATCCTGGGTAGCATGGGCTCTATTTCATGCCGGTTTCTTGCTTGGTTTAATCGTATTCAGAATATAATATATTGTCACGTGGGGTATGTCACGCAACAAATAACTTCACGTGGGTCTCGGATTTAGCGAATCTTTATTGTGCTTCACTTCTACACTCACACGCTCTACAATTATTATCAGTTGCAGTATCGCCTGACTTCTGGCCCAATATTCTAATACGACGTCTCAACTATCCTTGGCCGTGGTTGGATCTCAACTATCTCTGATGGCGGCAATTCCAAGACTGTCTTAAATTTGTCTTCATCTATACCGTACGGCGTCTAGGTTTCAACTAACCCCTTTCTATAATCTCGGCCGCTGCTATGCAATGAACCATCGTTATAACCGTGGAGACTCATCTCCGGGGAGAACCGGCGTTCTCTACGCAACGGCTCACTGTTGGGATTACAATACCGCTATTGTTACTTCCTATACAGCGATCTGTTCTAGCGTTTCCATGGGAATACCTCTTCTGGATTCCAGACATGTGACAATATACTGTAACGTAGATGGCGCAACAGGAAGTAGGGGTCACGTGCACTCTGCATTTCCGCGAGTGACGTCACATACCCCCACTCCTTCCATCACTACGCGACGCTCGGTAAACACCACTCACCGCTATCCTGTGACGTCACGCAACAGGGGAGGCTGTGCAGCGACTGTTGCTAGGCAATCGGTAAACACGACGTCACGCAACAGTGGTAGCTATCACGTTACTGTTTTCTGTGTGGTCAGTGCAGAAGCTACATAACAAGTATTCGTCTGTGCTGAGACAGTAATATATGGTCTCGAGTCCCAAGGGACTCAGACCCGAGAAAAACTGCACTGGCAAGTGTCAGCAGCATATACAAAAGGCAGACCCGTCCTCTCGTCAGAGAGGGCACCCCACAAAAACAAGACCATAAATGCCAAACAGTAATAAATATCTGGTCATGAGCCCCAGATGGGGCTCGACACCAAGACCTATTGACTGACTGACCGTCCGTCGCAATGTGACTTGGACTTGGACGTGAACCAGAGAGCCAGTTACTAGAGAGAGAGCGTTACTAGTATTGAGTATGAGTATTCAGTATCCAGTATAAGCTGAAGTTTGAGACAGTCTCCGTTGAAGAGAGTGGAAGCCCAGCATTCGCCGAGAGATAGTTGAACAGCAATTGAGATACTGGATTGCGTAAGACTAAGCTCGTATAACTGTGAATTGTACAAGTGTAAAAGCGAAGGAGGGTAAATATTCGCTACATCCCTGAACGGCGTGAAGTTATTTGTCACGTGACATACCCAACACGCGACAATACCTAATTCAATCAACTGTGCTGGAAATTAATCAGTACCTGGCGATTTATGCCTTTGATGCTGGTTTCCTTCTTGGCTTATTCTTCTGCCATGAAGATGGAAAAGATACTGTCACGTGTAGAGGGTACGCGTGACGAAATGACGGGTTCTAGTTCGGGTGATTGGATTTATTAACAGCTTGGTTACACGCACTCTCAATTACACTCAAATCACAGAGCTATCGCTGATTTACATACAGTTTATTCGCCGTTGCATACGCACTAGGATTATCTCTCTTCCACTAGTTGTTCACTAGCAACGGATCTCCACGCAGGAATTGACACTTAAAATCAGTCCAGATATTGCACATGAGATCTTCCAATTACACTTCCAGTATCACTGCACCGTCGCACATATGAAGTCTTCTTTATCACCCTTGAAATCTTCACAGGTCTTCTACGAACTCCCAAGTACTCCAAAAACTCCATCCTCAATACTCAATACTCGTAACTCGTACTCAAAACTGGATGAATAGTGTTCTCTGCTCCTTATATAGGCTCGGCACCAACCACATACGCATAGAAAACACAGTGCTGCTCGGCAACAAATATCAGGTATTGTTGTCAGGCGTGTTTACCGAGCGTCGCGCAGTAACGGGATGAGTGGGGGGTGTATGTGACGTCACTCGAACTTCCTGTTGCGCCATCCAAGCGTCTGCAGATTTGTCGCCTAGCAACGCGGCGATACAATCCGCAACTCTCACGTTGTGCGCGTGCCCCGTGGACTCTGTGGCTCAACAGTTTCTGCATAGAGCCAATACGCCACAATATGTTCCTCTGAAACATTAGTTGACTTTCAACAGACTAAACGGCGTTATATCCAAGAAGACAGAACTCTTCTTGAAAAGGAGGATGTTTGAGGCAATACAGTAGAATTCAAATAACAACCTCGTAATGTGTATTATTCTTTTACTGCTAGACATTTCAAGAATGAAAAGAGGGAACATCTGAAGTAGGAAATTTCAGGCAGTAAGAACAAGATCAGTGGAGGCGTGTATATGGAAAATGAATAGAAGCAGGTTTACCAACCTAAAATTAACTTAGTTGAAGGTAAGAAGCGTCATCTATTTAAGATTCTCACATGTTGAATGTACGGAAGAATAACTTGAATGTACACGGTTTTATTGATGTTAGGTAAAGTTGTGTCTGTGCTTAACCAATTAAGCACTACGCCATGAAGGCGTATGGGGGAGTAAACTTACAGATCCACATTTTCTTGACCTTGGCACTAGTTGGAGGTGAGTGGTCAGTTTCACGCCCTGGTCGCTTTACCCCTGGGGAAAAAGCCCCCAGTACGCATTGGATAGGAGGTTGGGTGGACCCCAGAGATAGTCTGGACGACGTAGAGAAAAAGATTCTTGACTCTAACGGGACTCGAACTCCGACCTCTCGGTCTTCCAACCGTAGCCGGTCTCTATATCGACTGGGCTATACCGGCTGCGCATATAACTCGTAACTACTAATAACTATAAGAGCCTCACTGACTTACACACTCTATCAATCACTATAGCCGACTACAGAGACCGTGCGGTCTAAGGCATAAACTGTCTTCGCCCGCTCGAACACTGGAATCCTGGGTTCGAATCCCACTTGAGGCATGGCCGTCTGTCTGATTTATTCTGTGTTTGTGCTGTTTTGTGGGCAGACGAGCTGATCCCCCGGCCAAGGAGTCCTACAGACTGTGTATAGGTTAAGAAACTGGAAAAGCGGCCAAGGTCCAACAAAGGGCTGCAGAGCCACAGATCAATGAATGATTACAAATACAGCACGTATAAAGTCTTCTATCTGTTCACTAGTCGTTGTTAGGCAGCGGCTACTAACAGCCGACTCCGACCTCCTATTGCCTATCGACCCTCTGGCTTCAATCTGTGGGTTAAATTTCTGCTGACCCTCGACAGCACAGTCATTCTTGGCTTCAGGTCTCGTCGATATTTACGACCAAGATTTATGTTCTTCCCTAGACATGTGAAGTGTGGCCCCCACTTCGATGAAGGGAGGGGTCGGTATTTCTTTTTAGGCTCTACGTTTGTTGCACCGCAATTTCGACACGAGCTCGCTGGCTCTCAACAGCACAGCAATTTTTGTTTTCGAGTACCACGGGATTTATGGCCATATGTTTCTCTCCCCCAACTGACAAGTTGGCACATTTATACTCCCTGTGAGGAATTGAGGCATCTTTCCCCTTTAATTCCTTGACTGCATAGCGTTTGCTTTACTAGTTGTTGCGTGTAACGACGTTACCCCGGAATCGTTATAGTGACAGCTCAGATACAGTTACCCAGCAACGACGAGTAAACAGTCGTTGCTATGTAATGTCTACAACAACATTGGATCGTGTGTTAGCCAATCGCAAACTAGAAACCATTCGCTGCCTAGCAACGGCCGAGTAAACAGCCGCTGCTGCTCAAAGCCTGCAACAATACGGACAGTGACATGTTTTCTATATGTCCGACACTAGGTTATATAAGAATATACATTGAGTGGGAAGTCAGTTCTACAGTTCGAGATTCTAGTGAGAGTTGTTAACACGAAAGGACCGATTGTGAAACCTTTCGTGTTGTAGTTACGTGGAAGAGTAATAAAGTGATATCGCAGGATTACACTCCTCGAATCTTGTTTCACGACATTTTTGGTGCAGAAACCAGGGAACCTTTGTGAGATTAAGAGCGATAAAGAGCTTAACGAGTTCGTGTATGTTAGTGTATATGTACAGATAGTGTTTGAGTGTTAAATCTTCATTTTAAGCGATTTGCTTGTGCCTTTTGTTCCATCGCTTAAAACCGAAAGCCTAATCATGCCCCGTATAATGATAAAAGGTGGGGTGTGGAGGAATACAGAGGATGAGGTTTTGAAGGCAGCAGTGATGAAATATGGGAAAAACCAATGGTCTCGTATTGCATCACTACTACATAGGAAGTCAGCAAAGCAATGCAAAGCTCGTTGGTATGAATGGCTGGATCCAAGTATAAAGAAAACAGAGTGGAGCCGTGAAGAAGACGAGAAACTATTGCATCTAGCAAAATTGATGCCAACCCAATGGAGATCCTTTGCACCTATCGTTGGACGAACAGCAGCACAGTGTTTGGAACGTTACGAGTACCTGCTAGATCAGGCACAGAAGAAGGGGGATGGAGAGGACGCTGCAGATGACCCACGCAAGTTGAAGCCTGGGGAAATTGACCCTAATCCAGAGACAAAACCTGCACGTCCAGATCCCAAGGACATGGATGAAGATGAGTTGGAGATGTTGTCTGAAGCACGTGCACGACTTGCCAATACGCAGGGAAAGAAAGCAAAGCGTAAAGCTAGGGAGAAGCAATTAGAAGCAGCACGTAGGTTGGCAGCTTTACAGAAACGGAGAGAATTGCAAGCAGCTGGAATTGAGTTGGAACCTAGGAAGAAAAAGAAGCGTGGGCTAGACTATAATGCAGAAATCCCATTTGAAAAGCTCCCTCAACCAGGATTTCACGATACTAGCAATGAGACATTTGAGCCGGCAGCTCCTGATTTTAGCCGACTTAGGCAGCAGCATCTTGATGGAGAGCTGAGAACAGTGAAGGAAGAGCGCGAGCGTCGTAAGGACAAGCAGAAATTGAAGCAGCGGGAGGAGAATGATATTCCTACGGCTATGCTGCAGAATCAAGAGCCAGCTAATAAGCGCAGCAAGTTGGTTTTACCGGAACCTCAGATATCGGACCAGGAGCTGCAACAGGTGGTGAAACTGGGACGTGCGAGTGAGGCAGCCCGAGAAGTCGCTACTGAAGGCGGACACCAGCCTTCAGATACACTGCTGGCTGATTATTCTCTGATCCCTGCAGGGGGCCCTCGAACACCCCGTACTCCGGCACTCACAGCAGATAGGATCTTGCAGGAATCTCAGAACATGATAGCTCTCACTCATGTAGACACACCTCTTAAAGGAGGATTGAATACACCCTTGCATAGCTCAGACTTCTCATGCATGACTCCACAACGGGAAATTGTCACCACACCAAACACAGTGCTCGCAACTTCATTCAGAAGCCAACGTAGTGATGCACTTCATCCTCCAGCTGGTGGGGGTTTCCATACACCAAACATAGATGGCAGTAGGGGTGCTGTCGCACCTACACCCATTCGTGACAAACTAAGCATTAATCCAGAAGAGGGGTTGGATGTGAGGGATACACCCCAAGCCATGCATAGTTATCAGCGCCAGTTAAAAGAGCAGCTTCGGTCTGGGTTGAACTCTTTGCCTGTCCCAAGGAATGACTATGAGATAGTTGTCCCAGATTCTGAGGAAGAAATTGAAGCTCCAGTAGACACTACGAACATTGTAGAGGACCAAGCAGATGTGGACACCAGAAACCTTGCTGAGTTGAAGGCCAAACGCGAACTGGAGATGCAAAGTCGTTCCCAGCCAGTTCAGCGGGACTTGCCTCGACCAGTGGGAGTCAATATGGCAGTACTGCGTCCACCTCACACAGAACCCGCACTCACGGAACTACAGAAGGCTGAGGAAATGATAAAAACAGAAATGATCACAATGCTACATTATGATGCAGTCTATTCACCACCCGTCATACCAGCTGAAACCAAGAAGCGTGGTCAAGTGACAAGCCAAGCAGAGCATTTAGCGTACCTTGAGCAGCATCCCTTTGAGAACTACAGCCAGCATCAACTAGCCCAGGCACACGCAATATTACAGCAAGAGATGGAAGTAGTAAAACAAGGCATGGGGCATGGAGACCTGTCCTTGGAGTCGTACACTCAAGTGTGGGAGGAATGTCTTGCACAGGTACTCTTCCTGCCAAGTCAAAATCGGTACACACGTGCCGACCTAGCTAGTATGAAAGATCGTATTGAGTCACAAAAAAAACGCTTGGAGCAGAACCGAGGCTGCATGACACGTGAGGCAAAGAGGGCTGCCAAGATGGAAAATAAGCTGACAATTCTTACAGGAGGCTACCAGTCACGGGCACACGCACTTATAAAACAACTGGATGATTTGTATGGGCAGATAGAGCAGGCACAACTTGAACTGTCGACATTCAATTTCCTTCAGCGCCAGGAAATGGCTGCCATTCCACGAAGACTTGAGTCCCTGACAGAGGACGTTAGCAGGCAAACTGAACGAGAGAAGACATTGCAGGCCAAGTTTGCTGAGCTTCAGCAAACAGTGGAACAGTTACAGCGCTGAATGTTCACCCTAGTAGGCTGCAAGAGTTACATTTTGAGGCACCTAACTGTGCTTATCGCTTCCTTAGTTGCATTGTCTTACCACTGCAAAGTGAATGTTTTGTACCAGATTACAGTTCGAAGTTGCTGCTAAGGCCAACAGGCCAGTAAACACTTCCCCGCGGTGACGCAACAGCAGAGGAGCTGTGCTAGGCAACGAGACGGTAAACACTTCCGGCTCTGACATAACAGCATACGCTGCTGCGGCTAGGGCAACAGGGAACAGTATAAGAAGTCAGCTGAGGACCGGGCGTGGCAGTGTGTGTTGTGTCGAGAGCAGTGGAAGCCGACAGTTTGCAGTGTGCGCCGACAGAAGGCAGTGTGTGTACAGAGAAGCCATTGGATAGCCAGCTTGAAGAGACAGACAGTTCTACGTTCTAGCGAGAGTTGTTAACACAAAAGGAGCCACTGTAAAACTACATTTATGTTATAGTTACGTTGAATTGTAGTTATGGTGTTGAGCAATAAAGTGACGTCACAAGAATACACTCCTCGAGGTCTTGTTTCACGACCCCCCCCCGGGTATCAGGTTACTTTTCTGACGTCTTCTATGACTCGCAGAGCTACTCTTAAATTGTGTCAGTATCTGTTGCCACAGAAAAGTATTTAGCGCCGTTGTCTAGCAAAGGCCGCATCTATTCTCTCCACTATTCCGACTTTCAGCCATCATGTCTGGCGGTCCTAGTAATCGGTAGATGCATGTATCTTGCACTCTGATGACGCATAGGCTTACGTTTCTAATAATAAAGTAGTAATGTCATGAGGAAGACAGGCATGCGTCTAATTATCAAAACAGACCACATCACAACATAATGTATGTAGATGACAAGAAGAAAATAATAACACAGGAATGTAAACTACATCGCCTGGTTAAGAAATAGTATCATTACGTGTTTAATTATTACTACCGCTGCTGAATGGTAATTGACCTATTTGACCTGCACTGTCGTATAGTTCACACGTCATTGAAAGGAAGTATATTATTTGTCCTAATGTGAAGATGACAATAATAATAATAATAATAATAATATGGTACTATAGAAATCAACTACAGATCAGATCTTTTGCATTCGTCAGATATTGGAGGAAAAATGGGAGTACAATGACACAGTACATCAGCTATTCGTAGACCTCAAGAAAGCCTAGATTCAGTTAGGAGGGAAGTATTGTACAATATTCTGATAGAGTTTGGGATACCCATGAAAGTAGTTAGGTTAATTAAAATGTGTTTAAACGAAACGTATAGTAAACTCCGTGTAGGTAAACATTTGTCTGATAAATTTCCTATCCAGAATGGTCTAAAACAAGGAGATGCTTTATCGCCACTCCTTTTCAACTTTGCCTTAGAATATGCAATTAGGAAGGTTCAGGGAAACAAGGTGGGACTGAAATTAAACGGGACACATCAGCTGTTGGTCTACCCCGATGATGTAAATCTACTGGGTGATAATGTAGATACCATAAAGAAAAACACACAAACTTTAACTGATGCAAGTAAAGATGTTGGTCTAGAAGTAAACACAGAGAAAACTAAGTATATGTTACTGTCTCGTCACCAAAATGCAGGGCAAAATCATGACATAAAGATAGGAAACAGATGTTTTGAAAACGTGGCACAGTTCAGATATTTGGGAACAAAGATAACAGATCGAAACCTGATTCAGGAGGAAATTAAGAGGCGACTGAACTCTGGTAATGCTCGCTACCATTCAGTCCAGAACCTTTTGTCTTTCTGTCTGTTGTCCAAAAACATAAAAATTAGAATATACAAAACTATAATTTTGTCTGTGGCTGAGTATGTGTGTGAAACTTGGTCTCTGACATTAAGGGAGAAACATAGACTGAGGGTGTTTGAGATCAGGGTGTTGAGGAGTATATTTGGACCAAAGAGAGATGAAGTGACAGGAGGTTGGAGAAAACTGCATAATGAGGAGCTTTATAACTTGTACTCTTCTCCAAGTATAATTAGAATGATCAAGTCAAGGAGGATGAGGTGGGCAGGTCATGTAGAACGAATTAGAGAGACGAGGAATGCTTATAGGATATTGGTGGGAAAGACAGAAGGAAAGAGACCACAGGGAAGACCAAGGCGTAGGTGGGTGGACAATATTGAAGTGGATCTTAGAGAAACAGGATGGGATGGTATGGATTGGATAGATCTGGCTCAGGATAGAGACCAGTGGAGGGCTCTTGTGAACACGGTGATGAATCTTCGGGTTCCATAAAATGCTGGGAAATTCTTGAGTAGCTGCAGAAATGGCGGCTCCTCAAGAAGGGCTCAGCTCCATGAGTAAGTAAGTAAGTATGGTACTATAGAACTTTGTTTGGTCTTGGCCGCATTTTCAGTTTCTTGAACTTATACGCAGTCGATAGGACTCCTTGGAAGGGGGATCAGCCTTTCGCAAGGGCTCTGCCTACACAGAGAACATCACAAACATAGAATAAACACATACGAGTACAATACAGACATCCATGCCTTGAGTGGGATTCGAACCCACGACCCAACGTTCGAGAGGGCGAAGACAGTTCACGCCTTAGACCTCGCTGTCACTGTGATCGGCTTATGTACAGAAGGTAAATATCGATCCTGTTTAAAATCAAATTTTAACATCAAATTTTGTTTCATTGCGAAAATGAAATTATAACGTCACATAAGTTCCGTTCTCTGTAAGAAACGCAATATTTATCCCTATCCTAGCCAAAAAGTTGCTTCTGCGTGGGTCCTCATAATTTCTGAACTCAAGGGCAAACTTTAATAATACTCTACAGAAACATACACCATCGCATGCAACTATCCAAATCTATATTTTGTACTGCAGCCATATTGTTATCAACTGCAGATATCAACGACTTTAAAAAATATTTCGGCATTTTGAAGATCTTTCACAGTACACAATTCTAGCAGGAAAACATGAGAGAAAAACGATTTTGGAGACCTAGGCGTAGATGGATGTATAATATTGATTCCTATCCTGAGCCAGATGAAATTAGTCCAAAACCGCACTTCCTGTTTCTTTAAAATCCATTTCCATATTATCAACCTTTCTACAACTAGATCTCCCAAACTGCTTTCTTTCAAGTTTTCCTTCTATAATTTCAACCGCCGTCTAAGAGCTGATTGTCGATAAAATGTGGGAGCCTCACTTTCTCACAAACCTATGGGTCTCCACCACCTGTTCGAGTAATGGTTTTACCTTTTACCTTTTACAGGTGAGTTACATGTATTGTTCAGTTCATCCTTCATTGGATATAAAGTTTATCCAGGTCTTCAAGTAAAAGACCTTCTGAAGTCCTTATTTTGATATTCAGCGCATCTAGATTGCCAATGATCTCTATTTTTAGTTCCTAAATCCGCTCTTGTATCAAAACACTTGTTCCATTATAAGAAAGAATTAATTTATTCGTACCTAATACCCTCCTGAACGCTCGTGTGAGATATCTTCGGAAAGGATCATTGCTTTAACAAAGACCCACTGCAATGCATTATTTAGTGAACAGTCATATTACGTATTTGCGTCACCATGTAAGCTCCTCTCAGACACTTGTGTGACTGACAGCATGACGAACAACGGGAGATCAGTGTAGCATACGTAAGCCTTTAAAGCGCTGTCAATATGTGCTTTTGGACATACCGGGCTGCCCAGAATATGAATCCACATAATTACAATATATTCTAAAACACACTGGCTAAAAGGCGGTCTGTCCAAGTCCATGGCTGAATGACTGGGTTGTGACAAATATGTAAAAATGGCGAATCTATTGGAACAATATTGAGTAGTACCTGGAATACATGTGGCACATATGCTATTTTATCAAAAATTGACGCTATTAACATGTATAAATGATACAATCGTGAGGCATGAAATTTTGTGTGAATAACAGTTCAGCATCCAGACTCTCTCTCACAGTAAACATGCCATATCTCTATTATAGAGACTAATTAGTTAATGCTGTAAAACAGGAGGGCCCCTAAGTGTACCGTTAAGAAGAGATCTGGATACTTGCAGTTCATCAGCAGGTTCCAGAAATTAACTTCAGAAACTGCAATAATTTATAAGTCACAAAAAATATTACTATACTCCAAAACACTGCCAGTCCACCAACCACTGGGACACTACGGTTGAAGCCTTGACCGACCTGCTGTGTAAGAAAATGCCTTCTGTCTATGCAGATAAATATGCAATCTGTGGGCAAATTGTAAGTTTTCCAAATGTTGAAGCAGGGGTCGTTCCGCGTGAAATCATCCAGATGTGTCGCTCACCATTTAAAAAAAATATATTTTGTACAGTTATTTATACATATTTTCATACTACAAAAATATTTAAAAAAATTGTAATCCGCCCGGTTCTCCTGGTACAGGCGTTTTTATAATGCGAAAAAACGCGTTTTCGGCTGAAATGGAGGTTTGCGTTATCTTCAATATCTCGATAATTATTGAAGCTACAGACTCAAACAAAAACGTAATTTGTTCCTCATGATATGGACTACAAATCATGTTATTACAAGTTCTTACTCAGCTCACTTTCTCTAGGTGTAATTAAGCTTGAAACTCACCTAGCGATTTTGGGAAAAACGCTATTTTTGACCTTCAAAAACCAATGGGAAGGGGAAAGTATCAGATCTGTGGTTTCTACCTTTTGTTGTTATCTACATGGGAAATATGATCACGTAGTTTTTAACCCCGTATCTATTTTCCAAAATTTTCCAGGAGATTTCAAACTTTGCCCTGGGCCCAAAATCGACCATTTTTAACATCTCATATCTCCGGTGGAAAAGCTCCGAAAATTTTGAAATTCGTAGAAAATAATGCTCTATTCTAGAGTAACTTGGAGATAAAATTACAACTTTGATATTCAAATAAGAGCGAAGTTGTTGGCACTTTGATTTTTACCAAAAAAAAATCAAAACCTCGATAATTGGCTTACCTGCATCCAGTAGTATTAGTTCTTTGTGTACTCCGATGAAAATTTTCCAGTTTGTTTGAAAGTACACGTAGTTCAGTAAGTGTCCACTATCACGATGTCTTCGAAATCATCGGAGTTGGATGTTTTATGACACCTGACATTGTTTTCCTCCAGATGGACGACCCGGTGTTTTTCTCTTGTGTGGAGCACAGTTTTGCACTTTTGGAACATGTTTTTTAAAATGATTTCATTTCTTGCAACTTCCACTGTTAGCACAAAAAAGTTAACTATCCCTGGGATATTTTCTGTGCAGAATTTGTACAGTTCTAGCGGGCACATGATTTGATTAAAATTAGTTCTTTGAAGACTGGCTTTCGATGCTTGCCTCTTCGTGGTGCTGCCAATACCGCCACAGCTATTCTTCCCGTACGAGGTGGCAAAGTTCCATTCTGCTTCAAGTGCGGAGTCGTCATAGTGATGACATAAATTGGAAAGATTCTTTTTGGTCTTATATCGGCTTCCAGCGCCATCCCTGAAATAAATAACTTTCCTGACTGAAGGCACATTTTCTTTTATATCGGCGATAAGATATTTTTGGAACACATAAACTGTGGCTGTATCGTGCTTCGCATGATCACTGATTATACACAAGTTTCGGCATTTTGTTATATTGTCCGCCTTGTAGTAATACACAAATGGGTCAAATGTAGCCTGTTGATTTACCTAGTAGAAACTTTGAATCTCGTCTTGAACGAGAAACGAATAGTTTTCTGCAAAATCTGCAAGAACGAGGCACTGTGTTTCGTCCAGGCTTTCCCTCGTTTCTTTCAAATACTGCGACTGAATTTTAGCCACGTAGTGATGTTTTTTTCAGTTTTGTCAGTTTTTCAATTAGAGATTCGCAGAATTCACTGTAACTTTTCATTATATAGATCATGTTACCTCTGTCTGTGTTGACCCATTGTTTGCAGACTATTTGATCGGGCATGCTCTCTGATTCAGCTGATAGCAATTGCATCAGAATTTCTTCTCCAGGGCAGTCTGCGCATTCATTACTCATGCACTTATAACTTTCGATGTCACAAACCTTTACATGTAATAAATCCTTGTAGTCCGAATTCAATTTTGCTCCCTCTAGCATCAGCTAAACATTTTCGTGGTAGCTGCACACACACAAACGGGGTGAGTCCTCGATGCACCAGCAATGATACACCACTTCGGTCGAAGTGCACAAAATTTGGAGAAACCAATTTTGTGTTCAGGTTGAGTATTCTTAAAGTGAACGTAAAGTTCCTTCAAATTGCATAGTATCAGCCGTTTCTGCATATGCTATTTGATACCTCCCACGTTAACACTCACACAATCATTTTTCCAGGGCAGATCCTACTATTTTTATTGTTTTCATAAAATTCCGTGACAGCCTGAATTGTTTCTTCACTAACTGTCTGGCCCCGCCTTTTGCCTAAATCCGGAAGGATCCCTCGCATCTGTTGAAGAGCTCGAGTAATTCTAACCAAGTGCTCACAAACTTGAAATTCTTGACTTATCTTCTGTCATGACCACGAAGTTGGCAATAAGCTAATGATTTTAATTTTTTCTTCTTTGCTTGAGATTAAACATTTCTCCTTTAATTTGTTAATCAACAAATCATACTCCTCACTTAATTCAAAGGAAGGTATTTGTTCATCTGAATCAAGATCCATCGAGTCGTCTAAAAATGAACTCGCTAATTTCCTTCGAAGAGAGTAGGATATACTTCTACATGTTTTTGATAAAACAGCGGGCCTTTTCTCTGTATTCATCTTCATAATTTTAGCCATAGGAGAAATATCTAGAGCCGAACATACTCCTAATTCTGCCAGATTTTCTTGCATAGGTGCAAACTCGTCCCTTCCAGAACCACTACTGCCCCCACACGGTTTCTTTAAGAACAAAAATCTTTGTGTAACAATTAGGACACAAGGATTTACCCGGTACTAGAGCTACCGGAAAATTATTTTCTTTCTTCACATGTTCTAATGACATTTCACGTAAACCTTTCTTAATGGTTCGTTTGTGCACTTTTAGCGGGTCACAACAAATATTTCCAAACAGGTGATTGTATTTAACAGAATACTTAATCTCATGATGCTTGCATACGGAACTCAAATCGCATTCACCCAATCTTAACTTTAAAACAGTTTTTCACTCACAAGCGTTAACTGTTTGTTGACGGCACCATACGTAGTCTTACGACACTCTTCACGTGTGACAATACCTATAGAACATTCCATTTCAAAAAGTTTTTACTTTCGACTTGGAGAACACCGAGCTCGATACACATGAAAGATCTACAGTTGCTGAACATACACTGACTTACAGTTCGAGACAACATTCACGTGAATGCTTCACCCATACATAAAGCTGCTGAAGAAGCAGCCCAACACTAACATCACGATTACAGAAGTTTGGGTTCAGATGTCAAAACACACGAGGCGCGCAATAAGAGACCTACATCCACGTTTATAGCCAGCTAAAACCAAGTGTTGATAACGTGTCATTCCGAGCAGTAAGTACAGGCCTGAAAATGATTTTAATGACAAAACATAGATCTCTTGTATTTTATACCGAATAAAGAACCACCAATACCATTGGATGCCAATTATCGATGTATTAATTTTCTTGGTAAAAATCAAACTGCCCACAACTTCGCTCTTATTTTAATGTCAAAATTGTAATTTATTCTCCAAGTTACTCTGGAGTAGAGCATTATTTGCTAAGAATTTCAAAATTTTCGGAGCTTCTCCTCCGGAGATATGAGATGTTAAAAATGGTCGATTTTGGGCCCAGAGCAAAGTTTGGAAGCTCCTGGAAAATTTTTGAAACTAGGCACGGGATTCAAAACTACGTAATTATATTCCCCATGCAGGTAACAACAAAGGGTAGAAACCACAGATCTGATACCTTCCCCCTCCCATTGGTTTTTGAAGGTGAAAAATAGCGTTTTTCCAAAAATCGCTAGGTAAGTTTCAAACTTAATTACACCTAGAGAAAGTGAGCTGAGTAAGAACTTATAATAACATGATTTGTAGTTCATATCATGAGGAATAAATTGCGTTTTTATTGGAGTCTGTAGCTTCAATAGTTATCGAGATATGGAAGATAACGCAAACCTCCATTTCAGCCGAAAACGCGTTTCTTCGCATTATAAAAATGCCTGTACCGGGAGAACCACCGGGCGGATTACAATTTTTTTTAAATATTTTTGTAGTATGAAAATATGTATAAATAAGTGTACAAAATATAATTTTTTTTTAAATGGTGAGCGACCTCTCTGGATGATTTCACGTGGAATGACCTGCAGGTAGTATGTATATCACCAATGAGTTTTAAAAGGTTCAGTAATAAACACATGATTAATTTTGTCCTTAAAATAAATGTGAAATAATAACTAAAATTAAGCAAACTTGAGAAATGAATGGCGTTGATTTACAAATAGAACACTACTTATTGTTTCCTGAGGTTGGGAATTCTTCATGGGTTAGCAACATGTGTTACTAAACACTGGCATTTAGAGCCATGAACTCAGAACTAGAAAGTATTTCAGATTTCAAACATAGTGTTCAGCAACTCTGTTAAAGCAAATAACATGTCACAAATTAAGGAAAATTCTATGCACTCAAAAATTGTGATTGGCATATAAGAAAATAAAAGTATTTATTATGAAAAGAGGATAATTGTTTATTTATCTTATTTTACTACAGATGACATTTTAAGCTTACAGCTTACAGATGATGATGTTGTCACTTATGAGTTCACAAAATGAAACTTGTGTTAGCCACACAGTTTCTTTTTAAAACCACACATTTGTATTTCTATCTCATGATTTGTCTCACCAAGACCGATATTAATTGCCAATACAGCTTATGAAATCTAGCACTTTTTGCACAGTCAATTTCGACATTAGTGAAACCTACCACAAGAAAATTTTAAAAGCCACATTGGTGTACCATCCCAGTAACCACTATCACTTACAGTTCACTTCATGTGAGTTAATCCCATACCCCACCTATTTCATGACCTCTATAAATATTAATAAATAAAATACAGCCAGTAGAACACCAAGATACTGTATAGGTGGGGGTTTATGGTAATGTGTAGGCAACATGTAATCTAAGCACAGTTCATGTGTACTGGGTGTTGCACTTGCATGATAGGGGTAAGAGAGTATAATACGTATATCATTTAATGCGTTCTTCCACACATAATTCAGTTTGTTTCAGGGTTTTAAGCTATCATTTTTGTAGAGTTTTTGAAAGAAATTTAGCATATTATAATAAATTATTTATACATTATGAATCGATGCATGGACTCCAGGGGTCCACCTCAATTGACGTCTGTCTTTAAACTGCCAAAGAAAATAATAAAATTTAGTCAATTATCAGTAGTTTTACATTGGCAAATATTTCCACATAAAGATAATTTCAAGCGAAAATAAAACACGCACTGTACAAGCTGGAGAGTATACAAAGTAATTGGAATTTTGTAAAAAAAAATAGCCTGTGGCATAGAAGTGTTACTCTACCCAAATGATCCCATGGATCTTAGCCATTTGGGAAAATTTCCTCATTAGAATTGTCTGTATTGGTATTGTCAGTGCAAGAGGCGTGGGTTGAACCTGCCCATGTGGAGGATGAGTCCTGTAGGGTTGTGTCGAACAAAATAGAGGAACGGCCTATCAAATCGCAGCCGTGGGGCATCAGGAAGTCTTGCCTGGCGTGGTCTTAGAGCAAGAGGCAGGGATGAAAGTCCCAGGTCATCCACATCATCAAAATTCACAGATCCATCCTTTGCATTCTCATCGAGTTCTTCTCTGCCAGATCGCTGTGGGGACGTAGGGTACACTTCTACATGATGACGAGAACCAATAGCGTCTTCAGCACATGTGCTGAAAGTGTTCACTTGAATAATATCTGACAGATGCAGATCATTTGTGAGACCATTGATTCCACGTAGATCGGCATGTTCAGCACTGAACAGATCCTTGAGACCCATCCGCTGTAATGGTGAGGTCATATTAAGCAGAGAACGATGTGAAAAGCGAGGTATCTGAAGTTCAAGCCCTGGTCGAGGCAGGAGACTTCGGAGTAAACGTGACCAAGCCCCACGGCGATATGAGGTTTCAATTAGTCGTTGCTCAAGACGCTGAAGTCCATCACCTGGAGCCTGCTGACCTTGCTGACCTGGTAATACCATTACGAGACTAACAACAGAGTCATCATTGATTATTGATGCTGCTGTAGCATCAAGTACAGGTTCATATCCAGCCAAGAAACCGCTGAACCACACGGCTGCAGGAACAGGAACAAGCCGACGTTGCCGTATAGCAGGCGTCACTGTGAAATACATCTCACCGTCACGACCAACGGTGGATGCCAGTCTGCAGTCAGTCTGCAACAACAGTTTAAATGTGTAGTGGTAGAAGTGAGGTCACAGTTTGCTGTGAGTGGTAAGATCTGAGCAGTTGTTCAGGTCTGGGTTCAGTGCATAAAGCCACAAGATAAGGCAAGCAGAATACCGGCATATTAAAAAACATGAAGAATTACACCTTACCATTCAGGACAATCCAGAATTTCTGAAAAGTTATTCTCCTGGCATACTGAAAGGAGAAACTACAAAAATAATTTTAAAGGTTCAGCATTAACCTCAGGTTTTGAGATACAAAATAATCATTGTTATATGTCATAAAACCTGACATTTATCACTCAAAAGATCACTACTGAGAGACACAATGACCCTTCCTCCATATACCAAACAACAGATCCTCAATATCTGTTGATTGTATATTAGTTTGTCATCTTTCTAAATAAATATCTATTTTTTAATAAACAAGCTCGTTGTTTATTTTTTTCTGCTGCTGCAATAGCTTCTTTGTCATCTAAAGACTTTTTACATGCTGCAGAATAAAATGGAACATATTGTAATATGTTTGGAATAGGTACTCTCATGGCAATGTAATAACAGTGAGCTGTTGCACAGATAATGCCGAAACAAGGAAAGCGTTCCCCAGGAGATGAACAACATAAGGTTTGTTGCACAACAGCAGACTGTTGAAACAGTAGAAATGGAACCGCAAGAGATGGTGTCTGGTATCCAGTCCACATAATGCCTATATAAGAGAGTTGGAAGCAGAGCCAGGCAGACACGTACGAACGAGATGTTGGGATCCAGCCACAGACAGAGATAGTTGGATGATAGCCGCTGCAGAATGCAGTTGAAACCATACTATTTGTATTTGAGTGTGCAAGAATAAATGTGTTCGCTAAATCCGAGACCTACGTGAATTTACTTGTAGCATGACATGCCCAACATGTGACAATATTTAGGGCATAAGTTTCTCTTCCAAGGCAAGTCAGTAGAGCAGATGATGGGGTCCTGAGTCAATGGATGAGCTGTATTGCAGCTCTGCTGTACATGAAGTAGGACGGTACCTGAACACAACTCCTTCCAATTCCTTACGTGTTCATCAATGAAGATCATCTTCTCCTTCATCCAATGCTATACAGCATATGAAATTTAAATAGTACCATTAAGAAACCTATTCAGTGCATAGTTCCAGAAGTGGGATGAATTTGAGTCCCTCAGTACAACAACCACAGGTGGATCTGCTAGCCTGTGCCTGATAATGAATGGATATGGAGAAATGCTGGAATAAAATGCAGGAGAATGTCAAAGTTCTTAAAAAAACTGCCCCATTGCCACTCTGCCTGCAAAAAATCCCATATGGACTTATATAATATAATTATCAGTTGAAGCAGGTTAGGTTATAGATTATCCTAATTGAGATTTCTGTGCTTTTCCTTGGTGCTTCCAGAAGGATACTACCTTCATACAAACATATCTATCCAATTTTTGGTCCTTATCTACCTCTCATACATGATCATATCCTCATATAATTTGATGATATACAGTGTATTATTTTTAACTGAAACAGCATTGCAAAGTAACTATGACAGTTATTGTGTTTTTGGACATTATACATTGTCCTGTATTTTTTCTGAAACATTTTGAAGATAGATCACTATCTCCATCTTCAAGCAAAAACCTACTCAGCTGGGCCAAATCTATAGAGCTAACAGCCCCAATTTCCAGGCCTAAGAACTGAGCAGCATTATCACAGGGAGTAAAATGTAACTCCCATAGATGGCAGGCTGGCATGAGCCAGAATCATAAAAGACCATATCCAGAAAAGATGAATCCCAAGAAGATCGACATGAAGTTCAGAAACTGATGAAGGACTGTTATGTAACAACAGCTGAACAATAAACAGGAAAATAATAGAATGAGAATACTCATATGCTGAATCTATGAGAAGGAAAATGAATTAACTATAGCATGCACTAATTCTTCTCAGTTTCTCCCAAAAATGTCCTCTACTGACTACGTCTTCGCTGGCTGGCAACTGTCCCTCACCTCACCCATGGATCCAGAAGTTCTCACATTCTTGACTGACTAAGTATGTCCAGTCTGTTAAATTGCTACTGGTCTTCACCAGCACAGGCATTCGTGGCTTCAGGTCTCATCGAAATCTATGATCAAGATTTTAGTCTTGTCCTAAATATGGATATATTTTATGAGTGGCCTTCCTCAGTGAAGAGAAGAGAGGTCTGCTGACTGAATCATCTAATTTGTGCTCACTATGCAGCCTCAGGATGGAACGAACAGAAAACACCATTTCCAACAGTTCTATATTGTGGCATCATATGTTCATTGTCGTGGAAACATGTTTATTGGCTGTTCCCTAGCAACTGCAGTCTTTTTGCCTAAGTTTGTTCTGGTAAGTGACATTCATGAATAAGTTCACTGGCCAGTTTTTAAGAAACTGTGTATTTCAAGCCTCATGACAGACATTTTGCTCAAAACCAGAAGCTTTTGTCATACATACGATGACTGAGATTGTGTGACTGAAATAAAAAGAATTAATTTCTTGCTATTAAATTCAACCTTTTTCCTGATTATGTGATAATATTTTGATGTCATTTTCTTAAGTTGGATGTCAGTATCAGTAACCATGAACTTTACTATCTCCAGGGAAATCATGGTGTGTAGTCTCATAGACACTTATCATACCCTGAAAATGGAAGTAGCAAATTCCTTAAAAACTTTAATAAACATCTATCAGACTACATAACATCATATCCCTGAAGACAGTAATTTGAATGCATTTTCATTACAATCTCCCAATAGTAACTGATGACAAGCAATTAAGGTTAGTATCATTATACACTGCAGAACTGTAGAGCTTATCATGGTGACATTGTAAACACTGTAATGCCAGTCTGATTCACACTTGTGTCATGTATATCCTGTTTTATTTAGTGTTCTCACCTGTAAAATGTTGGCACTGAACACGGCCAGGGGTGGCCGCAGCAGGATGTTGGAGCTCCGGAGGTACTCAGGCACTCTGCCATGGGTCTGTCGCTTCATGAGAAGGTTGGTGCGCCGTCTCACTAGATCACCAATTGCACTGAAATTCACCTCTTCAACGTGGCCATCATAGAATTGTTGAGCCCGTTCCTTGTAGAAATCTAGAAGCTTACCCTTTGTCTGAAGAGAAAATATACCACTATCTGCATATGCTTATGAAACAAGAATAATTAAATATTTGACCTTCAGGTGTATCAATGTTATAATAACTGCATTTCTTAACATCCCCGACTGCATAGTGCATGAAAATACAGTTACATACTATGCCAATAAAACACCATATCCCACACACATCTTGCAGAAAAGGTTCTTCAGTCAGGTCAATTAGAACTGATCATACTAGCCTTACTAAACATATTAGCTAAAGGCAAAGGATTGTTGTTTTGAAGTTGTACTGTCATCTTCTGAAATTAATTTATCTCAGCTTTTTTCTTGCTCTTCCATACGAAAATTTAACTATCACATTGGCTTTCTAAATATCAAAAATTTCTTTTACTTTGTGGCTCCTTCAAAACAGTAAATCAGCATCATGCTCACATCTTGTTTATAGATATTGTATTTCAGTTACTTTTCTAAACACTTATCACTGGTTACAGTCTCTCTTCTCAAAAAAGTCAGATGAACTATATTTAAACCTTCCATTGCTATTCATTAGTTACCACCAAGAAAGTTAATTCCTGGTTTCTTTAAATAAATATAACCAACCAAGTCAACCTGACCTCATGCTTGGGTGGCATTAGCTGAAGTATGGATGGATAAGGTTAGGTAACCCAAACTAGCAAAGATCTGACTCTGTCTGAAGGGTCGCAGATGTTTTTGCAACAGACATAACAGTACCACAGCCTAATCCTGCACCCAGTGTCATACTGAATTGCTAGCTCTGTTAGAGGCACACCTGAGTTTCCAGATATACATTATTGTGGGTGTACATATGTATGCAACTATAAACTATGTATATAAGTATTCTCAGGCTTCTTCAGCTTTTTTCTTTATATCCTTCTTGAAGCTACATTTAAGTATTACAATTTGTAAAAGATTTTAACAGATTAACAACACCTTAGAAATGGACAACGAAAGACTGAAATCAACATGTAAAACAGCAAGGTGTGTTCCCACGAGACTTAATATTATATGTACAGAATTCAAAGAAATATGAAAAACACTGGGGAAGGACCAAATTTAACAAAAGAAACATGCAATGTACGTTTAACTGTGTGCTTGAGTAAGGATATGGATGAACTTCCCCCTCCCCTTTCATCTCTGTAAGAAATTGGAAAGAATTTTAAGTTAATAATCATATAGCTTAGTGATGTGTATTACTGCACACAGTGCCCACTAATATAGCATCCACTATCAAAATATTGTCAGGCATAACTTCATATTTGAGTCATGCAAATGAATTCAAATTAAATTCTCTTGTATACCTACTTCCCCCACGTCAGACATGAAACATGCATGCAGATAGTCTGTCACATCTATCTAACACATTTATGCACAAAATATATCAAGTACTCATAAAACTACAACACATTTAATCCATATCCATTGCAATGATGAATAAAATTGTACAAAATTTACCAATTTTTCAGTACTTTCTACAATAATTCAAATACTGGAATCATGGGTTCATATCCCAAAAGTTCTAGTCTCTGTATTCTATATTGCACCTTCAAGTACAGGGGATGTTCTTGCAATGGCCTGATCCTCCTATCCAAAGAGTCCTACCAATTATATAAATTGGCCTGATCCTCATATCCAAAGAGTCCTACCAATTATATAAATTATGTACCTTTTTCTGCAGACAATAATAGTGCATTAGAATTGGACACAGGGCCAAATCAATGAACGTGGAAGGGGGACAATAAAAATAATATGGCTGTGAAGAATTCCACTTTACTTACCCTATCACTGTACAACTCTCTGACAAATGCAGCAGTTGCTACAACCTGGGTCCTGGAAAGTATCACAGACTCTGTAACATTCCTGAACACCTGGTGTGGGTTGAAGGTAACCATGTCATCCAGGCGAAGGATATCATTCATCTGACCTGAGGTTGGACCTCGTGCCCCAAGGAACACCATGGCAAGAAGTGATGTGACTGCAAAAGGAGACATGGTCACACTCCTTGATGCTGTCAATCCCTTGGCTGTAACAGATGCCCACAGACGGAAAGCCAACTCATTACAAAGTTCAGCAAAACGTCGAACATCTTCCTCAAGTCCTGCAGAAGTCGCTTCAAGGCCCAGGTTTTCTTGAGGTGCTGGCTCTAGATCAACTGTGACATATGTCTGTGGACGCTGGGGTTCCTGAGGCTTTGCTTTGATCTTGTTATCCTTCACCTTTTCTTTGTTCAATCCACTGTATTTTAAGATTTCAATGGGTGTTGTGACATCTTCTGTTGCAGATGTGGTAGTAGGCTTTCGCGTACTGCTAACGGTAGCTCTGTCTATGACTTTATTATCATTATGCTGAGAGAATGATAGATTTGGCAGTTTTGTCCAACTCGTGTTTGCAGCAGTTTTTTTTGTAACATCAGACTCTGTTACTTTCTCAGATGAACCTGTACTGCTAGTCACCTCAGACTCCCAATGATTAACATCTTTCACACTGCTTTCACTACCTTTCTCCAGTAATGTTTTCGTAAAACCATTTACAATATTAGATTCGGAGAAAGCTGTTGTTTCTTCTGATACTTTATGTTCTGTAACAGGTGAATCAGTTGTGCCCTGAGGTTCATCCTCTCGAAAGCTTGGACTCTCCTTATTATCGCTATTGAGTTCATCTTCTGCTGCTGTTGTTTCGGTTTCATGCCTTACAGTTACCTCTGCTGTGAAGCCTTCTGTAGTCATTTCAAAAGATGTTGTCTCATCACCAATAGCTTCTTTGTTCTTGTCTTCAGCAGGCAGACCTGTTGTTGTTTCATCGTTTTCAGCAAAACTTATGACAGTCGTTTCACTAATATGCTTATTTTCATCCTTTTTGTCTATAATATTTACGTCAGTTCTTGTTTCCATGCTTTGAATAAATTCAATGTCTACAGTGGCAGGAGTAGATGTGTTTAACTCTTCTTTCTGTGTCTCATCTTCTGTTGTTTCAGACTCCAACTTTGTTGTACTTTCATGGCTTTCTGTTGATACTCTTTGCATATCATCATCAGCTTCATTCTTTTTAATCATTGAAATATGCTCTGTGCTGATTTTTTCATCCATTGACTCATCATTCGGTTTAACATTAAGGTTGCTCTTCATAGATTCATGGCCCATTTCAGTATCATCTTTCTTATATTTGGTTAATGTTACAGTAGACGTTTCTGAATTCTCCTTTGTTGTCACTACTGATGACTGCATTGCATCTCTTGAAATAATGCTTTCAGGTATAACAGTTGTAGCCGCAATATATTGCCCTTCTACTTCTGTTGCTATGGAAAATTCCTCGACACCAAGTTTGCTTGCGCTTAACACATTTGCTTCAGTCTTAATGCTGTTTCTATGTGCACTTACATTTGGCTCTTCTGTTGTCACTTTGAGATCACTGGATATTGTGCTTTCCCCTTGCTCAGTCCTGTCATTTCCAGTAGTGATATCATCTGCAGCCTCAGTCGTAATTATTACATTAATATCAGAATTTGGATCAGTTTCTCCAAACACATTAATTGCAGTTTCCTCATCGTATGGTTCTTTTTCAGTAATTTCAAAATTACTCTTCAAGGCCTCATTACTATTATTATTATTAGCACTCATTAATAATTCTATGCTTGTACTCTCTGCAACATTCTCTTTTGTGTTTTCTTTATTCAACTTCTTTTGATCTTCTAATTCTATCACTGCTTCTGTCAGTTTATATGGGCCTTCAGAATTATTATCACCTTTGTTTAGGTCCACCTTGTTCAAGTCCATTGGATTATTCTTATTATGGTTACCATCAGCTTCTACTGTAGTAGATTCTACTGCATCTTGTTCATAAATATTGCTTCTGTTTCCCAGTGAAAGTAATAAAGCGATTTGGTCATCATTTGTACTTTCCTTCAGATGCAAACTGCCCAGTGGTTGAGAAGATGTTGCCTCATTAAACAACTGTTCAGGGACAGCATGTACAGTTGTTTCTGGAAGTGTGTCTGCTGTTGTTCTGATATTGTTGCTATTGTTTTTGTTGTCATCTAGGGATGTAACAGTGCTCTGGATGTTACTGTCATTTGGAGTACCGGCTGGGGATAAATGATTGTTGCTTTCCGTTGAACTGACACCTTTGGTACTGCTATGTTGGGTGGTTGTGGTGCTACTGCTGAAAATATATAAACCATTTTCTCCATAGTCAATTGTTGTAGCAGTACCTTCTACATCAGCAACCTGAGATAGTACACCTAACACTGACTCAGCTAATTCTGGTGGCATGTCCAGATTCCCATTGGCAGTTGTTGGTAATGGTACCATTCCTATGGGGGATTCAATTCTCATTGGCACAAAATCAGAGCCTGCATTTATCAGTAGATTTTCAGCATTGCTTTTCCATGTTGTTGATGGCAGTGGTAACTCTGTTACTACAGTTGTTGTTATGGGGTTAGTACTTACTACGGTGGTCCTGAGTAATTCTGTAGTTGACACTTCATCACTTTCATTATTCATTACTGCTGAGCTTAGCTTTGTTGCTCCCAATGGATTGACAGTACTGGTTTGCACAAAATTGCTGTTATTATGAGGTGGCTGTATCATAATCTTTGTGATATCTGCGGCAGTTGGAGTAGTTTGGATGGGCTCTGTAGGCTTCCCACTCTGTAGTGAAGCTTTGGTTGTAGCTGGTGTTTGTGTAGAGATCACAGCTGTAGCTGGAACTGGGCTACTAGGACTAGATTTGATAATTGTACTGTGTTCTGAAGGTCTGTATGGTCTCTGGGTAGGTTTTTTAGACTGAATACTTTCAGTTGTGGAGGAAGCATTATTTGCCAAAGTGAACAAATGGAAAAATTCTTGTGCAGTTGGAACGTCAGTATTATTTAAAGATTCTGCAGAAGGTAGCTGAAGTAATTCACTGTTCTCATTTGGCAGCTTAATATTGTCACTGTTACCACTTGATGCTGTTAAAGTTGCAATAGTTGAAGGATTATTTGTAGTTCTCTCAACGGCTACTGATTGATTCTGGGAAAGATCTGGTGTGGAGATGCCACTAACTTGCTGTGATGATGTAATATTTTGGTCATTAACAGGAATTATGCTGGGCGGTCTATTTGATGACAATGGAGATGACTGGGTTTCAGACGATGTGACACTAGTTTCTGACCAACCAATTTCTGCAGGTGGTGAGGCTGATGGTGGAATTCTTGATGTTAATGAAGGAAGATGTGTGGTGCCAATTGGTTTCTGTGTGGCTGCTGACGTTCTGGTAGATGTTACTTGAACGTCACCAATTGCTGGCTTGCTATAAGACTCATGTGAATTTAATGGCTTGTTTTCTTTTACATTCAATTGGTCTTTCATTATAAGAGAGGGATTAGTAATTGTTTCTGCCACACTGATATATGAACTGTTTGACGGGGAAGACTGTGGTTTCGGTGCTTGAGTAGACAATGCTTCAGACAGTAATGATGATGGTGATAATGACTGCAGTGACAGTGGTATTTCTGATGACTCGGATGGTGATGACAGTACGGATGGTACCTTTACCATTGTTGATGATGGTGTCACTGACGAATGTGACATCAAAGGTAAGAGAGATGAAGGTTTTGGTGATGAAGAGGCTAATATAAACTGTGATGATGAGGTAGATGAGTAGAAATGTGGTGGTAATGGTGATGGTGATGATGATGATGGTGGTGGTGGTGATGATGATGATGATGGCGACGATGATGAGAATGAAGAAAATGACGACGAAAACGGTTGTGGTGGTGGTGTTGGTGAAGATGGTACAGATGATGAAGGTGGTGATAGTGATGATATATGTGATGTTGCTGAAGAATGCAAAGATGGCAGATTACTGTGGATGCTTACAGAATTGTTGGCAGTTTGTTCCACATCTGATGTGTCTGAGGACACAGGAGATAGTGGTCTCTTACTGGGTGAAGCTTCTGAACTATTATCAAGTTCTTGGGTAGTAGTCAAAGTGATATTCTGTGTCACATGTGAAGAAGATTCAGTTGAAGTGTCACTTAGTTCTTGTGTGACATTTGTAAACGGACCATTGGATGAGTATGTGGACTGGTTTGCACCACTGGAATCACTACCAGAGTTACTCATAATTCCAGAAAGAATCATATCCCAAGACGAAGATGAATTCGAAGAAGCCATCGCCACTGGTGTTGGTGGGGAAGGAACTGGTTTGGGTAAAGGTATTTTCTTCTTTGATGCTTCCAGTTCACTTTTTAAAACATTTTGTACACTCACAACAACGTCATGAACTCCTGGCACAGATGACGAAAGCTCTCCAATATCAGTTGCTTCAGCTTCCTCAATGACCTTATCTGTGACTGTGGAGGATGCAGCAGGTGCAAGTTCTGCAGAATCTGGTGGAAGATTCTGATGGTAATAATTTGCAAGTCCTGCTTCTCCAAGTTCGGTCTCACCATTAGCAATAATGCTCTGAATTTCCTCCAGGGTCATGAGACGTTTGACAAGGTCCCCTGATTCATCGAATGTGTAAAATTCATAGCGATCAGGATTTAGGAGGCCTGCTGGACTTCCTACCATGGCTGCTGCTGTAGGCTTTTGTACTGGACGTCCAGCAGCATCTGCGAAGTACTTCTTTGTACCATTTCCCAAGTCCATAATCACGGACACTGATGTCACCACACTTCAAGCAAGGAAAAAATAAAATCAGACCACCAGAGAATCAATTAAGGACATAAAGAATTGTTTTCACATATTTTAACTTATGTCCACTCCTCTGAAGTGTGAACAGAACTCCTCATTTCAATTTGACTTCTTTTTACAAGCTTTAGCTTGGAACAAGCAGGAATTATTATACCGGATGGTATCAGACATGCCTACACAACCAATATATGTAATTAATGTAAAACGACTCTGAGATATTTTTAATTAATACGTATGCAGAAATATGTCAGAATGAAACAAAAACTGAGGATATCAGCATAAATGGATGAATATACATCAAAGCTATGTGAATACAAATTACAAAATACACAAACACAGAATTCTGGATAAAAGGCTGAGAACATTAAGAGAAGTGAAAATTTTACCAGTGGCTCTTCAACAGTCGAACTGATACAGCAGAGCAAAGCACTCCAGAATAATAAATTTTAGAAATAAATCATTAATATTACATTTATCATAAAAATACAACATGAAACAAATTATCTAGTATGACAAGTCTTGAAACTTACAGTTGATCATCAAGGGAAATATACAGCATATAAGCTAACAAGATTTAACAGTGAAAATTTTACTTTTTATTGTATTAAACCCTAACTTATATACATTTATGTTAAAAATGTTTTATTTTTAATTTGTTATGATTAAAATTCCATGCTGTAATAAAAAAATGTTCGAAGTTTTTACGTCTATCACATGGGATAAATTATGTATATCACTTCCAGGAATAAGATACTTATATTTCTCATTTCTTGTATCCCGCTATTAATGCACAGAGTAGAGTTTGTGTCCGTCGTGTCCTAGTTCCTAAGAACGGGCCTACGTGTACGTATGGTCAAATCAGCAGATTGCTCTTACCTGGACCCGAGGACTCGCCGTGACTCCTCAGAGTCAACCTCCTCTTTGGCAGAGAAGGGCAGGGCAAGTGCTGCAGTGCAGCATAGTAGCAGGGGCAGCCAGCGCCTCGGCATGGCTGCGTCTCGCGTCACAATAGTGCCTCTCTCTCAGGAGACTGCGTGAAGCTACGACAGACACACATTTCTGTTATTATATAAAACACAAATTAATTCCATCGCCCAGAAAACTGGCTTAGGGACTAAGAGTCGCATGGCTAGGCAAGAAATTTCCAATTATTTTATAAAGCCCAGAAGTCCAGTATCGAAACGGCACCATGCAGTTTGGTAGATGGGTACAAAGCTTTCGGAGAAACAAGCTGCCTCCATGCTGCGTATCTCTCCGAAACGTTGACACACACGTACCAGACTACAAGCTATCGTAACCCTGCAGAAAACAATTTTCATCGCTATTAGAAATTTAAGTCTCATATGTGTTCATTACCGTATTCACAATAGACTGCAAGTTGGTTAAAGAGGTAACGCTTCTCATTTGTATATGGTAGGTAATCAGTTCGAATCTCGGTCATTACACCTGTTATCCTGACTGTATTTCTTCGTGGTTTTTCACAGTCCCTCAATGAAAATGCTGGTATATAAAATAACTCCGTCGTTTTAGTCCGTAAGTGAACTATACCGACCGAGCGACAGCCGCTTGTCGGCGAAGTTAGTGCCAACTTTAGCGGATAGAGGGTGTCGCGTGGTCAGCTCAACGAAACCCCACGGCCATTAATCTCGGTTTTCTAGACCAGAACCGTTATTTCCTTGAAATAGCTCCTCGATTATCCTCACGAAGCTGAGTGGACCCCGTTCCAGACCAAGGACCTCTCAGAAAATCTGGTAGCGTCGGGAACAGAACCCGGACCTCTGGATCTGTAGCAAGGAACTCTGACCACTAGACCACAGAGGCGGTCGCTGGGATGTAAGAGCATCTTAAGTTGCACCACGACCGCTTACTACTATGTATTTTCTGACTCATCAGTCATTTGAGTCACTGGCAATATCTTTAAATAAACTATAAATAAATAATGAATCATGGATTTCTTCAGTCTCTGAAAGAAAATTTTGGCAAAGTATCTTCAAACAGGACCCAGCCGTCCTTTTCTCTCATAACCCTATTTTCATGATCATTTTCGCCATCTTACTGGACAATACATAATCTAGGAAGCAAGTAATTTTGCCATAGACAAAATAAGGCCTCTCATCTTTATGAGAAATTCATAGAGGTCAAGGCGTTACTTTTGCCACAAGAAAGGAACGTTAAAAGGACAACTGCGAGCCAGGAAACAACATTCCACCAACTGTTCCATGTACATTAAACACCCTACCATCGACAGTATACATATAATATCGATAATGAAAGCGTTGTTATATAAGAAACATAAAATAAAAACCCAGTGGTATACCTACCACTCCCTTTAACATACTAAAACTCTTTCTGCCCACAGAATGTATTTGCGTCTTTTGTATGGCTCTGGCAGTAAACAGCGTTTGTTTCCCCAAACATCATTAACTGCTTGGTCTTTATAGCGGAGACTTAATGTTTCCTGTGAGGTACAAACTGAATTTTTATGTACCACATTGTTTAGGAGAAGATCGGTCATTAAAGCGTTAAACAGCTGAATTCCTGCTACATGTTTTACAGAATTGGTAGCTTGTCCCGAACAAACTACAAATCTCTGCTGACCTAACACAATACAGACGAATCTGAAACTCATTCTACGAGTTATCGGTGTGGGAAATAAAATGGAAAGAGAATGCTGTGCGAAAATCACTGGCTTAAACTTATTATTCGCAAGACACCCATAACACGTGGATATTGATGTAATTAAAAGTACCTAAGCGAAGTCATTATCAACGCCTCTCTCACTAGGAGTTGCACAAGGAACCATTCATGTTGGCACTCAGAACAATATCTAACGAACCAACTCCACGCTGGCGAATCCTTCCTAAGAAGCTGCCAGTCATTCAGATGGCCACGATATTCCCCGAGCTTTACGACACCGAAATTTCATCATCGTGCTAGTAGAAACTCGCCGCTGTACCGTGTACAGGGTCAGACTAATTACGCCCACACCCTCACGCCTTACTTTTTGGGACTACTTTCCCAGCATGCACCTGCATCTCCCTACATTGTCCCTCCCGATTTATTTTGGCTGAAAGTCTGAATAAATTTTCCATCTCCTTATTCGTACTACATAACTTGCCCGTCCGAACTTCAAAGTCTAGAAACACCCCTGAAATATCTCTTAGTTGCAAATTCCAGAATAGAATTACAAGCGGTCGAATCGAGTTCCATTTCTTATGCAATCTTTCTGGTCTCGTAGGGGACAATATGAGAATGTTTGTGTGGTTGGTACATGCGATTAGAAGGAATCAAACGAGGGTTACTTAGAAACTCTTTGAAACTAATCGGAAGGCAGAAGTGGGAAGGCCCAAACTGAGGTGTCTAGGAAATATAAAGAGCGATATACAAGAGACTAGGCCAGGAGTCAGGAGTGTTAAATATGTAAAGTGTTAGCGACAAATAATAAATATAATACCGTTGGAAAATATACAAATCTTCCCCAAGAGCCGTATATTTGCCAAGTAACTTGGAAGAAAACACGCAAGAGCCATCTATATCCAGTTTTATGAATGTGACGGATTTATTGGCCGAAAACGATTGCCAAGAATACTAACTGTTTGACTGTGAACTAATTTGTCCTGCTTCTTATGCTCTGACGCGCTGTTTCATTTACAGACCACACCTTCCTTAATTCAGTTTTAACCCGGAAGAGTCTGCCCTCTGCGGCTTCAATTTGCAGTTTGCTTCTGTGACATTCATACTGGGAGGAAACCTTCTTCTGAATCTTCCACTTTGTACTGCAAGCTTCATTATGAGGGACTCTGCTCCATGAAGTTCGTTAAATGTCGTACAATATGTCACTCTTGTTTAATTTCCTTCCTGCAGATCGTGATGCTTGTGTCCGCAGGCCTTCATGGCGGAGTGCCTGCTTATTTAAGCACAGGGACACATTTACCTTTAAAACATATGAAGTCCTGTCACACCTCCAAGTCCGTGAGGTCAGAATCCTTTCTGGGACGAAGCTGCTTATTGAATAACAATGTTGTCCTATTCAGATCTCTTGTGTTACACATGAGGTAACAGTGTTGGCAGCCTTGCCGGAACTGGGAGTGCTGCATCATTATTTCCGTTTCTGTCTGGTTGTGCTGCAAACCAAGTGGAGGCGAACGCTACAATAACAACCTGCTATAGCAGAAATATTTCCAGAGGTGCTCGATAAATGGGAAGTTCGTCTGTGAAACGGATACTTAGAATTTGGTGAAGGGTAATAACTCTTTATATGGTGCTGCGTGAGATTATAGTAATGCAGTCCGCCGTTGCCGTTGTCAGCTGTTTTAATTTTGAAGAGAAATGCTTATCTACGAGAGATTCTTGTGAACTGCAAACTGTAATTCAGTCCATGGAGCTGAGCCCTCCTTGAGAAGCTGACAGTTACGCAGATAGTAAAGAATTTACGAACATTTGATGGAACCCAAAGGATCATTACCGTGTTCACACGAACACTCCACTGGTCCCTATCCTGAGCCAGATCAATCCAGTCCATACTGAAATTCAGTCTCTAAAGGGTTAAGGACCATTATTCAACTGCCTAAATTATGATGTCCAGTGGACTTCCCGCCTGGGAAGAATGAGAAAAGCCACGAAACCCTTCAGTCATTATAGTCATTTTCAGGCCTTAAATTCTAACCTGAGACATGTCATTGCCGTCTGGGAGGACGGAATTCTGCGAAAAGCTGCAGGAAACATTAACCCCTCATCAGATATATAATGATGCCGTATATTCCCGTCCCTGAGAGCTATACCAGCGGTAGCGTAGCTACTGGCAGGGCCTCCCTTGCTGGACAGGTCAAAGGGTAGGCATCAGACGAAGAGAGACACCAAAAACTGATGCCGGAAGCAGCGTCATCAGTAGCGACTTGAAGCACAGAGCAAATGATGCTCGAGATGGTTCAAGTTCGTATAGCAGCAGGCGTGACCAGAGTGGTTTGAACGGCTGCTGTACTGCGATGTGGAAAGCAAATGGAAAAACTACCACATTATCACTTTTCCTGGATAGTCTCTTTCCAAAAACAGAGATACCATATATGCGAGATGTTTCCTCTGGAGGCAAAACAATCCGGAGGCAAACTACTCCCCCAATCGGATCTCCGGGGGGGAGTGTTTCTAGAGGAAATGTCATGCAGGCGTTACAACAAGAAAAAGTGCGAAGATCAGAAGAAACAGCATGGATACAAGATTGGAACATGGAATGTCAGGACCTTGAATCAAGCAGGAAAATTGGAGAATTTGAAAACGGAAATGCAGAAGAATGAAGTGTCTGTGCTAGGTGTCAGCGAAGTGCGGTGGAAAGGACAAGGTGAAATAAGAAGCGGTGATTATACAGTGTATTATTCCGGAGGTGAACGGGCTGAAAGAGGTGTGGCAATAGTGGTGCATAAAAGTGTAGTGAGGAGTGTTGTTAAGAAGATTGCTTGTAATGACAGAATTATTGCTCTGAAGTTAAAGGCGGAACCGGTAGATATACTGATTATACAAGTGTACATGCCAACATCAGAGTATGAAGATGATGAAGTGGAAAAAGTGTATGACACAATTGAAGAAATTCTTCAGGAAGATGGAAGAGGAGACACAAACAGCATCATATTGGGAGACTGGAACAGCATTGTTGGAGATGAACCATATCAGAATATTGTTGGATCACATGGACTAGGAAGACGGAATCACAGAGGTCAAATGCTTATTGACTTTTGTGAACGAAATGGATTGATTGTTACCAACACTTGGTTCAAGAAGCCAAAGAGAAGAATTTACACATGGAAGGCACCTGGGGATTGGAAGAGGCATCAGCTGGACTACATCCTTGTGAAACATCGATTCAGAAACAGTGTGAAGGATGTGAAGACGCTTCCTGGGGCAGACATTGACTCTGACCACAACTTGCTGGTTGCCAAGTTCCGAACCAGGTTGAAGAAAATTATAGGATTTCGAAAGCGCAGACCCAGATGGGATTTGGAGAAGTTATATGCTCAAAGACAAAGCGTGCAAGAGACTCTAGAAGAGA